CTCTACCAATCAAGCCCGTTGACACTCCATTTATTTTCCATCTCTCGAACACTGAAAATTGAAAAGATATATGAAAACAGATCCATTAAATTCTAAGATTTGATCTACATTTATAGTTGAAATTGTTTCTAATCCTACGTATAGATAACTATATAAAAATTTCAAAATTCTTAAATTTCAAATACATACAAAAATAATCATATGTAAATTTTAAATTTGTCAATACTAAAATTTTATATTTTAATTACATATATTCACCCTGCACAAGGCGCAGGTCTTATCCTAGTTTATTTTTAAATCACTAGTCTTTACCAATCATGCTATAGCTTTATATTTAAAAATTAAAGGTTACATCATGTTTCTACTAATTTTTACCAATCATGCTTTTAGTTTTATTTTTAAGCTACATCAAAAAAAATTAAAGTAATTTTTTTCATTGTATTTTAGGTAAAAGTTCTACATCTTTTTTTAGGCTGTAGAATCTGCCAAACGCAAAAACCTATCTATGATATCAAATAAATTATAGAATCATTAAAAACATCTATAAATATTCTAATTTATTTTTGGGATTTTTAAATTATTAAAATATATAAATGTTATTTACATATCACATTTTAAATAAATTTTGATAATTTATTTAAAAATATTAATATAAATTGTTTTAATTGATAAAATAATTGTTTTATATATACATCAGATATTTTTACATATTTTATTTTAAAATATCTATAACTTATAACTTACAGCTACAACAAATTTAACTACATAAAAAGTCTCTGCAAAAAAAATCTATAGTAACAACTTTACAGCTACAGCCAATCTATCTACAGTTAAACCCTTACATCTAAATTTTTACAGTTACAGTCTAACCAATCATCACCAATGTTATGCTAGTCTAATTCATATTTGTTATTTTGTTTTTAATTTAATCATGAAAACATGAAATATAATTATAGACTAGTAAACATGTATCAGACATCAAATTGCTAAAGCAATGTTTTACCAATAGAAATTCCAAATTGCTGAAAACAACATTCATCTTTTGTCTGCTAATAACGTAGCATTCTATTCACGACATTCAAGCATATTATGAAGAAATATTATACATCTACAAGTCTTTAAATTTGTAGAGTAGCAAGGATACAAGAAACACTTCAACGCCTACCTCCTCTTCTGGCTTTAAAGAACCTCTCCTTGATTGAGATTAATTTTTTTACAACCTCAGTCATTTCCAACTGGTTTGCTGGAGACTCTTCAGAACACCCAAGTCCCACTTCTAAAACCTTTGTCAAGCACTCAGCAGCAGGGAAGCCAACTAAGGCTGTTGTGAAGAACCAATTCGTCTGCCACATCCAAAACATGCCCTGGCAATGCAGACCTGACGTAGCTACGGATGGCAAAGTCTCCTCCGTATATCTCAGCTGTTGGTCGCGTTTTTTAGTGAACATTTCAAAAATGAGAATCCCAAATGCATATTCTGCACCATGTCATAATCAAACAAGAAACGAGCAAGAATTATATATGTTCTCAAAAGAAACATGTAATAAAGTATTTACGCATACTAAGGGCATCTCCAACCCAACTTCATTTTTTACTTCAAAATGGAATAAAAGTGATTATAGAGTAAAAAATGCTCCAACCCCACTCCATATCTTACTCCATAATGAGATTTATTCCATAAATGGAGTCATTTATTTTTTCTTTGTTCACTACTCCATTATGGAGTTGGAAATAGTGTGAGGTTGAAGCATTTTTACTCTATAATCACTTTTACTCCATTTTAGAGGAAAAAATGAAGTTTTACATTGGAGATGCTCTAAGAATATAATAAATGTTTACAACTAATTTATTATTTACTTTTACTATTAACTTTCCAATAATTTTTAGCCAATGATATTAACCAATTCAAATATTCTCAATTAATGTTCCTTATAAGTATAGAAAAGTAATTAAGAAATAGAAAATATATCTTTGTGGAAAAAATAAAAGAAATAGAAAATTTTTCTTTGTGACACCGAAAAAATATTAGCTTTCTTCGTGCAAACATTATCAGTGTGATAGGTTTACCTGAGGCCACATATATAGCCAATGCATCCTCTGACTCCAGCCGAGCTAAGTTGGTTAATGAAAGTTTCCTGGCCGTATTTGAAAAGGATCCAAGCAAGATCAAAGTCACTAACATGGGCATCATCGTCTAGAAGGATGTTGCTTGGGTTAAGATCACAATAAGCAATAGATTCATGGAAACTAAGATGAAGATACTCCAAAACCGAAGACGCGTCTACCTATGTTAAGCCTTTCCAAAAGTATCATCGTTCTTTGAGAGTCTAGAGATCTCTTCAAATTCCTTTGGGTACAACAGCCACATGAGAAAAGAGAAAGTATGTGAGAATTAATAAGAATACTAGGATAAGACCTGCGCCTTGCGCAGGGTGAATATATGTAATTAAAATATAAAATTTTAATATTCACAAATTTAAAATTTACATATGATTGTTTTTGTATGTATTTGAAATTTTAGAATTTTGGAATTTTTATATAATTATCTATACGTATGATCAAAAACAATTTTAATTAGAAATGTAAATCAAATCTTAGAANGGATAAGACCTGCGCCTTGCGCAGGGTGAATATATGTAATTAAAATATAAAATTTTAATATTCACAAATTTAAAATTTACATATGATTGTTTTTGTATGTATTTGAAATTTTAGAATTTTGGAATTTTTATATAATTATCTATACGTATGATCAAAAACAATTTTAATTAGAAATGTAAATCAAATCTTAGAATTTAATTGATCTGATTTCATATATCTTTTTACTTTTCAGTGTTCGAGTGATGGAAAATAAATGGAGTGTCACTGGGCTTGATTGGTAGAGTATAGCAAGTTCCCTAATGTTTTTTAAAGAAGCAATTGGTAAAATATTTGCAATTAAAATATATAAAGTTTCTAAACTAATTTAATATAATTTATTTACTTGTCTAATAATATTAGAAAATTATATTTTTTAAAAATTACATTTTTTAAAAATAATTTTCTAAAAAATTATGTTAAATTTAAAATTATTTTTAAAAGCAATATTTTAAGTTTTCCGAATACAAATAAACAATTTAAAATTAATTATTGTCATGATTTAACATAGCCATAATTTAAAAAATTAAAAAAATTAAAAGTTAACAAATTAAAAATTAACTCAGTATTATATCATGATTTAACAATTTAAAAATTAATTATGGTTATGAGAAGTTTACGTTCACGTGTCAATCCTATTTATCTTCCAGTTATGAGAAGTTCACGTTCACGTGTCAATCCTATTTATCTTCCATTTTTCTCTTGCTATGTTTTTTTTTTATATTTTGGTTATTACTCGATATAAATATTTATTTTGAATTTTATTC